CTATAACATGCTTTTTTGAGGGAATGATGGTAAGAATGGGAATCCTAGGTCTAGCCCCTTTTTCTGATTCTGCCAATGTTCTGTTCTGTGTCTTCGCTTCCCTCTTTGTACTGTAAAGACAATATTTATTTTCCTCTTTTACACTAAGGGAATACAACTATTTGATCACAAAACAGTTGAAAAAGTGTTGAGCTGTTACTCAAAACACTGAATCATTATTTGCAAAGAGTCGGTTTATGGCCTCTAAGTTGTGGTCACATGTCCTGTCATCTGCAGCTGGACCAGTATAAAAGCTGAATGCCCCAGCTGTTCACTGCTAATGGCATAATTGCTCTCTAGCCCTTTCTTCTCAGAATAATCAGAATTAACTTGCACATGTTTAGCAGGAGAATTTTTCTAACCTGGCTTGTTTAGAGAGAACCGGGCTAGGGAGCAGTTACACATGTAGTTACACTAGCAAATGGCGGGGGGGTAAAGTATTCTCCAGTGGTGGAGCAGAAGAGAACAGCTGGCAAAGTTACCTTTTCACTTAGCTCAGCTGGAACCAAACCAGGGCTGGAGACTTACTCACCATTGAGCAGTTCTTTACAGCAAAAGTAACTTCACCCAAATCAATAGAGCCACTAACCACATCTCTTTGAGTAGCAGGTGCAGAATCTGACCCAAAACAGCTACTGTTGTTGACAGAATAACTTCTCGTCATATAAAGACAGTTGTTGTGTTGGCTCTTCCCAAAGAGAAAACCTATATGCTCACTAACAGCTCCACACCAAATACAGTAACTTAGTTCCTTGAGATAGGTACCGGCTAAACAAGCCTAGAAACTGAAGTGCTCTGGATGTCCATGGAGAAGACACAGCCCAGAAACTTTCCCTATGCAGTTAGGTTTTACTGAGGATCACTTCTAAAGATGAGAGAACAAGTCCTCCTCTAAAACATTAATCCTGTGAGCAATCTCATGCGACTGCTGACCAAATTGTCACTCACTGACATTTCAGAGACAGGTATCTATTCACCAGAAACTAGGTTTATTGCACGGAGGCTAGAGAAAGCCTGCCAGGTCTTAATGGCTTTCAGCCGTTACTGGCAATGCTGTGACTGTGCCCAAATGGGAAAGGCGGTGTACCACATTACCTCCGCTGGCTTCAGGGTTCCTTCGCTTCCTGTGCTCCATTAATGCATCCACTGAATGAAGCAATAAATACTGCATTTTTCTCTGCCCACTGTTCTTTTAACTTGTTATTTAGAAACATTATTAGTCAAAATGAGGGTATTACAGATAATCCCACCACCTTGCAGCATTAATACACACCTAGAGAGAGGCACTGGTTTTCTCTTGTTTCTCAAGTGGAGTAAATGGTAAGGTTTTTCTCAAAAGTTACTGAGAAAAAGTATTTTCTTTTTTTGTGGGAAGAAGGGTTTCATTATGGATCTTGAACAGCAAAGAAAATACCTGGCAATACTAAAATAATTGATTTTGAGTGGATACATCTACCCCAAGATTTCTTTTTTTTTTCCCCTCCAAAAAAATTTCATTTAGAGAAAACATTAAAATATTTTAACACTGCCATAATGATTAAGGGGAAATTCAGCACAGATTGATGTCTCAGACTTTCCCAAGGCGTGAAATCCCACTTTTGTACCAGCTTTACAGATCTTTTGTACTGCGGTTAATTGGTGAACAATGGAACTTGAACCAGGATTAAGTATTTTGGAATCTGCCATAACCATTCCCCTTCCCTGTTCTGGTACTTCTCTTAGTCCTTGCAGAAGAGACTTTGGGTACAGAGTCTGTATGTTCCAAATAAGTTCTGTATTTCTGAGCAAGTGTCCCCAAAGCTACTAACCTTCCTTTTTTTTTTTTCCCTCTCCCACACTAAACAATAATACCCATCATTTCGTCAAGTTACAAATTTAAAATATTATTTTTATTACATTAGAGACAAACAAGCTAGTTTACTGGTTTACACTTCTTTCACTACAGCATTATAGCAAATTTAAATCGTTCCCTAGAGATATATATTTGTGTATTTGATATACAATGAATATGTATGAATGTATGGTAAACTTACTAGCATTGACTGGACTAGGTTATAACTCAGACAGATTTTCACAGACAAGTTAAAAAGAACTATACTTCCAAACTGAGAGTCAGATGTTCCTGAATTCAATGCATGACAGCCCACCAACAATCCCATAGCTCTGCGATATTCTGGATGATTTCTTTTGGTACTTGATACTTTTGGTTCTCCTATAGGAGGCTCATGTCATTTCATCAGAAGCTTTCTGTGTGGAAAAACTGAGTTTGAAAGCCCCAAACAATTCTGTGACGAGTTGCAGTTCTGTAATGACGAGCTTCATGGAACAACACCTTTTGCTTGAAGGAGACATTACCTGGAGTTCTCATCTGTATGCACTTTCACCGTGCTAGTGTGTTATTACACATTTCCTTTCAAATTTCCCTGCATGCCTCTTTTCTCCTTTATATCAGATAGTTGCAACAGAGTTATTTTTTAAATAAGACTTTTTTATTATCATAGATTTAACTAATTTTCCTAAGATTTCTCTTCATGTATGTTTTACTAAGTAGTTTCCCTTTCTGCCATGTACTGAGCTTCCTAGCTTTAATGGAAACAAAATGCATTGCTTGGCCAGAGAGGTTGTGGAGTCTCCATCCTTGGAGCTATTCAAAAGCTGTCTGGACATGGTCCTGGGCACCCAGCTCTAGATGGCCCTGCCTGAGCAGGGGGGTTGGATAAGATGACCTCCCTTCCAACCTCGACCAGTCTATAATTCTTTGAAATTAGAGAGCTAAACTAACAGGCAGGCTCGACTACACCTATCATAAGTCTTCATTCACCCACTAACACAATCCACAGCTGAGCGCTAACTAAGTCAGTATGTGGCAAGATTGTAACAGCTGCTCTTAACTTTCATTGATAATTGTTCTCCTTTAACTGACATAATATTCAATATACTGTTGTTGAATGTAGTAACGGTAAAATTCATGCCTTGAGGGCTACAATGTGACCGAGTTTTAGCCAGATAACCTGAACTCTGACCTAATGGTGCATTATAGGCCTTTACACCACTCAGATGCATAGGTCACAATCTCACTCTGTGTAAACCTCTATGTAATTATATTACAAGCCATTCTTGCATATATTAAGATCATTCCAACAGATAATTAAAACAAAATCAATACGAGCCTGATAATACGACCTTTAAAACAAGAAAACTACTGATTTCAGTCAGTGTTCTTGTCTGTAAGGGACACAGAATTACATTCTACATTTGTAATATATTACACCTAACTATTAATTGCATTTAGTAAACGTCAATTTTCTAACATTATATCTTAGAAAGCATGCATTTTTTATGTGTATTCTTATGCAAATCATATTTCTTCAGCCCTCTTGATCAGTAGTATTCAGAATTCAGGAACAAACTATGACACAATATGCACATAATGCCATTACAGTATGTATCTCTATAGATGTCTATCATATTTGAGCAACCTGGTCTAGTGAAAGGTATCTCTCCCTATGGCAGGGGGGTTGGAACTAGATGATCTTTAAGGTCCCTTCCAACCCAAACCATTCTATGATTCTATGATATATCTATCTAAATTATATGTCATATCTAATATATATAGATATATGTCCATACATATATATCATACAAACATCTGTAGATATCTACTGCATAAATATCATGGATATATACTTACATGTAAATTTTAGACTAGTAATGGAAAAAATTGATTCTATTGTATTTGAACGTGTGTAACATTTAGCTTTTACAAAATAGATGCCTGAGAGAATCCTAAAACAATTGAAGAGCTCCATTCTGTATATCTCCTAATAAGAATAACAGGATCACATTGTTAAAGTAATAGCCTTTTTATTACTCTTTCTTTAGGACTGTTCTACAATTCAGAACACTTTTCTGCGAAAATCTGTGTACAGAGCATTTAAGAAAATACTTAAGAACACAGAATACGAAGATTTCCACAGAATTATGTAAGGCTAATTTACTTCTTTCATATGAAAGACAGAAAATTGAAGAGGAATTAAAAAATGCAGTCAGAATTCCTGAGAGCAGGAATAAAGATTCCCATATTTTCTGTGTAGTGCTAAGCACGCTATCATTGCCTACGAAAGTAGAGAAATAAATCAGAAATTAGAATTTTCAAAGTTTTGCAGGCATGTCCACTTCAATAACTGGATGACTTCTAGACGGTGCAGAGCTTCCACAAAGTCAGTAGCAATTATAAGAACTCAGAAGCATGTAGTATTAGATTCCTCATCAGAAATAGTTTTATAAAATGCAATAATTCACTTTGGAACCCAACAGATGATGAAATTCTTCAGATAAGCAACCACACATATTTATGACCATACTCATAAAGCAAGCCTGTCCATTTTTTTGTTTACTTATTTTGTTTTGCTTATCTTATCTTAACCAATCTGCATGTAACACTTTATTTAAAGCTACCTTTTTAAAAAGGTTTTATAAACAGAATTTTCCTATTTATACATTACACTGTAAGGATACTTCCCAACACAAGCATGATCACAACCCCCATTTCATCTACCACTTATTAGATATCTTGCTAAATAAGGAAAGAAAAGATGAAGGAGCTGCTGACTTGGATCTTAGTTTCTTAAGTCAAACAGTGGCCCTTGAAATCTTGCCAGTTGCCTTTGATGACCAAATCAGGCTTACAGCTAGCTAACCTCAGTATTTGCAGTATTTAAGGTATTTCCTATAATAAGTGTAAGCAAGTACAAATAAATACAATGGTACGAAGGAACCTGCATTTTTTTAGCTTAGGAAAAATTAAATATTTTATTTTGCCAACATCATCATTAGTTTTCAACATGCCACACTAAATTTACTTCATATCCTTCTACCTCTTTGGATGCACGGTCACTATGTCCATACAAAAAAAAATTCAGTTAACCGGGTTTCAAAACATGCTTTGCTTTATTTCCTACCTGAAGTATGTAGCCTCGAACATAGTCTCGTAGTGTCCAGCCTAAGCCATGTAGAATATGCAACACCTCCTCTTGCTTCAGTACACTGAAGAGTCGGTCAAGTAGTATCTTCAGTCTCACAGGCACAGCCTGAGTACCGTAGAGCATCAGACTGCTGATGTCAAACACAACGTTGGACTGCACAATCTCCACTTGGGTTGGGTGGTAGAGGTGCTGAGTACTAAGCTTGTCCAAGGCTGAAAGAAAAGGGATTAAGTATAAGAGAAGAGCTAAAGGAAAGACAAGAAAATAATCCCCCAAAATTCTGTAAACACATCAACTTTGGCAGATAAACTTATTTTCCAGAGAAATATCACCTGGGTGATTCACAGAATCATAGAATGGTTTGCGTTGGAAGGGACCTTTAAAGGTCATCTAGTCCAACCCCCCTGCAATAAGCAGGGACATCTACAACTAGATCAGGTTGAGCAGAGCCCCGTCCAACCTGACCTTGAATGTTTCCAGGGATGGGGCATCTACCACCTCTCTGGGCAACCTGTGCCACTGTTTCACCACCCTCATTGTACAAAATTTCTTCCTTATATCTAGTCTGAATCTACCCTCTTTTAGTGTAAAACCATTACCCCTTGTCCTATCACTAAAGGCCCTATTAAAAAGTCTGTCCCCATCTTTCTTACAAGCCCCCTTTAAGTATTGAAAGGCTGCAATAAGGTCTTGCCAGAGCCTTCTCTTCTCCAGGCTGAACAACCCCAAATCTCTCAGCCTTTCTTCACAGAAGAGGTGTTCTACCCCTCTAACCATTTTTGTGGCCCTCCTCTGGACCCGCTCCAACAGGTCTCTCCTGTCCTGAGGACGCCAGAGCTGGATGCAGTACTCCAGGTGGGGTCTCACCAGAGCAGAGTAGAGGGGCAGAGTCACCTCCCTCAACCTGCTGGCCTTGCAGCCTGGGATACAGTTGGCTTTCTGAGCTGTGAGCACACATTGCCAGCTCATGTTCAGCTTTTCATCTATCAGTAGCCCCAAGTCCTTCTTGGCAGGGGTGCTCTCAATCCCTTCATCGCCCCTCCTGTATTGATACCAGGGGTTGCCCTGACCCAGGTGCAGGACCTTGCACTTGGCCTTGTTGAACCTCATGAGATCCACATGGGCCCACTTCTCCAGCTTGTCCAGGTCCCTCTGAATGGCATCCTGTCCTTCAGGCATGTCAACCACACCACTCAGCATGGTGTCATCTGCAAATTTGCTGAGGGTACACTTGATCCCACTGTCTATGTCATTGATGAAGATATTAAACAGTGCTGGTCCCAATATGGACTCCTGAGGGACACCACTCATCACTGAGTGATTATTTTTCACAGGTGCAGTCCAAAACAGGCCTAATTTCCAAAGGTCACAATTAACTTTAATTCCTACAGAAGAAAGGCACTCAGCTGAGCCCCAGAGACTACAATACTTGTAAGTTCAAAAGAAATTACAGAAAATTTATGATTAACCAATGACCAAGAGTGAAGCTATGCAGAATCGGTTGGGACTGTTAAAGGTTTGAGACTTAACCTCTAGGGGAAAAAGAGAAAACAGATACACCCTAAACCCCAGCCTTTTAAACGTGTTAAAAATTAGTCCCCTGATTTACCATAAATTCTATCATGAATTCACTGCTACTTGAGCTGGCTAGTTTGTTTTACCCTTCTGTGTGAACTTCATGTTATTCACTGTGACGTGAATAATTTAGAGACGAGAGGAGGGGCACTTTGCAGGATGAAGGTAATTCTTATCCCCTTATGAAGTTAAACATGATGGAATTGCATATGACATCACGTACTTTACTGAGTATCAATGTTTAAATTTAATTTTCTTTCCATTTTATGGACTATGTTGCAGCACGTAACCTTCTCACTGCTTTTTTTAAACAAAACTTTCTGAGCATTTAAAATAATTTTATAGGGACTTGTTCTCCCATACTTTGGTTTCTTCTTGGCTTGTGGTCACTGGAGAGTTCATGTACTCTTGATAAATTGCTTTCTTACATCCAGAGCGCAAAGGCCCTTATCATTTACTCGCTGGCTTCATTCAACACATTTACTCCAAGGAATACTTTGTCAAAGAGTTCTGGTTTCCTCATACTTCATTTCTTGCAACAGATTTGTCTGATCTTTCCTATTCTAGTGGTTAAGTCAACTTTGAATAAATAGCTTTAAATATTAATTTAACATTCAAAAAAAGATAAGGAATTGGCAAGCCTAGGGACTGCAGTCCTATGTCTCTCCACAGGACATTTATACTGCAGAATGTGAAGGGTGGGATTTTTCTTCCAAAAGCTCTTCTTCCGAAGTACTTCAGCTATATAGGCTTCACGATGTGGGACTGATTTATTTACAAGGCCTAATGAATGGGATTTGATTGAAGCTTAAACAGGTCAAATACTTTCCTACATTTTTTTTGCCCCTTTTTAGTATAACATTTTTGTAACATGGTTATTTTGCTACTACCGTAACAGATGTGTCATCAAAGTACTCAGCTAGAAAAGCCTAGAAAATTGATTTTGTTACTGGCAGGCTGCACTGTAGGTGTGGTGATATGTATGTATGTGCACCTGGGGGGCTGAGCAACCATTTGGAAGGAGTAAAATAAAGTAAAATATTAATTTTTTTAAAAAATATTATTATTACTCGCAGTAAGAATGCTGTAGATACTATTAATATTAATAGATGTAACACCTTTTACTACACTATCAAAATAATTAAGCAGATCTGGATCACCTGGAGCTTTCCACCTTCAGTCTTAGAGAAGGACAACAGGGTCCAAAGAGGTTAACTGGCTTCTCCAAGTTTACACAAATTCAGACCAGAGTCAAGAACTGAATGAATATTTTCTGAATACTTAATGGCTTTTAATCACTGCATCATAATGTATTTCTAATATATCTTAGTATTTGTTTTTGTTTCTCTTTACTTAACAGTAAACCCTATGCCTGCAGTGAGGAAAAGCAAGTTCTTCCAGCTAAAGAAGGCTTGGCTTGCTGAAGGTTTTAAGGTAATGATTCTACTTTAACCCAAGTCAGAATGACTGTAAGACTTCTTTATCTAAAGACTATTGGGTGGATTATAAAACTAATAGCTAGAATGAGATTACAAAACTCTGTGGACATTTACCCACTTCACGTAATGTGACCATTGTGAGGATAATATCTTTGGAAAGGCTGACATGGAACAGAAGTGAAAAAACAAATAAAAAAGGTCCTTTTAAATTACTAAGCACACTCTTTGACGAGCAGACAGACATTTTCACAAGATAGCCTGTACTATACCATTTACCTGCAATATTTGTTTTCAAGTAATATTATCTATAGACATCCACTTCTCAAAACACACACACACAACTAAGAGTTAGTCTGGTGTAGGACTTATTCTGCACATTATGTAATAAACAAATAAGCAATAAATTTTATCCTTTTCAAGTACAAGTAAAAATATGCACTGAAATGTGTAATTTATAACACAACAAAGCATATATTTTTGCATGGGTGTGTAAGAACATTTGTGAACTAAAGACAGAATGCATGCTACAGACAAAAAAAAAAAGAAAAAAATTGTACATGAAGAGAAAAGAAATGCACTTGCAACCACATGAGAAATAATAGTATGGTAAGCATCTGAAATTCTTTTGGATCATTGACTATTGAAAGCCCTTGCACTTGGCAGAAGAATGAAACTTTTCACTGTAATTTGTAATTTATAAAACTTATCTTGTTTCTTTAAAAGAGATTGCTAAGGAAATAGTTGACAGAGAGAAGTTTCTTTCTGTAGTACTTCTAACTGATTTCTCCTCTGGTATTATTAGCGAACTAATGTCAGTGTTCTGGGTGGATTCAAGAGGCCATTTATGTTGTTAGACACATACTTTTTCAAATAAGAGATAAGAGAAGGCTGTAAGTCTCATTGTTGGTTTTTCTGTAAGGACAAGAGTATTAACTTTAGCCTTCTTGCCAAATCCGAGTAGATAGTTGTATTCTGCTATTCTGAATTGCCCATCTAATGTCATATAGATAATGCATTCCTCACCATTTTCTGTTCTAAACTATTGGTGCAATTTCTATATGCTAATGAACATTGCCATGTTTCACAGGTGAATACATTCAACAGTACCTGCAGCAGTGTACAATTTCATAAGTGCTTAGGAGACTTCAAGATGAAACATGCTATATAAAAGAATGAGCTTTATCATACCTGAAAAATGACATAAACAGATGTGTCCTTATTAAGAAGATATCAGTGAACGAACATCATAAACCACAGATTAAAAGTCCCTTCCTGGTGCAGCATGAGGTATTACTCATACTTCTTACACTTTCAGTGGGCTCAAAAGTTCACCCAGAAAAGTCTTAACATGTTTGTGACTTTTTGGTCGTAACCTGCACAATCTTTTCTGAAGACATGACTACGATGGGTTCAGCTAGGTGCTTGAACTAAGAAGGCTAGCTTTTAACAGCTCAATTCAATTCTTAGTAGTGTCCCGATAGTCTGATATTCTTTACCTCAGTGCATGTGGAAAGGTGTTCACTGATAGAGGAAGAAGAAATCTAATGAATCTTAAAATCACATACTTGCTGAGTAATCAAAATTTTTGTGGAACAGCCTAAAAAGGTCCTTGTGTTTTACTATAACAGTATGCAGCTAAGTAATATTTCCATGGTGAATTCTAAATTTCAAGTACTTGTTTCAGAAATTTTAACTATTAAAAAAGGGGGGCAAAAAAGGATGATAAAGAAGTAGAAGATGTTACAGAAGATTGCCTTCAACACCCAAAAATGACTAATTGAATAATTAGTATAGGAATTAGGAACATTTCAGTACTGTTTTTCTTACCTTAACTCTGAAGTAGCAAGTATGCACCATTACCATTTAGATAATTTAGAATATTTCAGTTGGAAGGGACCTACAACAATCATCTAGTCCAACTGCCTGACCACTTCAGGGCTGACCAAAAGTTAAAGCACATTCTTAAGGGCATTCTTAAGGTGGTCAATGCCTCTTAAACACTGACAGGCTTGGGGCATTGACCACCTCTCTAGGAAGCCTGTTCCAGTGTTTGACCACCCTCTCAGTAAATAAATGCTTCCTAATGTCAAGTCTGAACCTTCCCATGTTGCCTTATCCACTCTTTACCTTCCTGAATAGTAAACAAAATCCCCAAGATTTTACAGAGACTCTGCTCAGCATAATCTGAATTCTAAAGA